GGGTAGTCATTTAGGCCCTTTGCTGTTTACTCTGTTTATAAATGATCTTCCTTCTATCGTAAATCACTCTCGTGTACTAATGTATGCTGATGATGTTAAGCTTTGTCTTTCATTTAATAATATTGAATCTGGTTTCTGCTTGCAGTCAGACATGAATAGATTCCAGGAATGGTGTCAGTACAACCTTTTGAATTTAAACTATCTTAAATGCAACGTTATGACTTTTTATAGGGGTACGCCAATGTTCATGAGTTACTCTCTTCAGAACATGTCCTTGGACCGAATATACTCAGTAAACGATTTAGGTGTTCTCCTTGATCCTAAACTTAAATTTGACTCCCACATAACCTCTACTGTAAATAAAGCTATGAGTGTTCTTGGGTTTATAAAGCGTTGGTCTAAAGAATTTGATGATCCATACACTACCAAATTATTATTTACCTCACTTGTCCGTCCTAATTTAGAATACTGTTCTTCCGTTTGGAGTCCTCAGTATCAAGTGCACATTGACCGTATAGAGTCCGTACAGAGACAATTTCTTCTTTTTGCCTTACGTGGTTTGAACTGGGATCAAAACGTCAGGTTGCCTTCTTACTCGAGTAGATTGCTATTAATTAATTTGCCTAGTCTAGTAAGCCGTAGAATTATGCTTGGTACTATTTTTATGAATAATCTTATCAGAGGCGATATTGATTCTGTAGATTTGGTAAGCCGCATAAGTTTCAATGTTCCTGTTAGACTAATGCGAAACTACCATCCTATCAACTTGCCACGATGTTCATCTAATTTTAGTCAGCATGAGCCGTTTCGCGTTCTTTCTTTCTTATAATTGTAACAACCTATATCATTTAATTTGTTCCTCAACTTCTATCCCTGTACTAAAAACCAAAATCTTAGCTCATTTGCTTTAATCTTGTTGATCTGTGTTTTGTCCTGTCTTTATTTCTTCTATGTACCTTCCTCGCGAACCGTATTTGCCCGAAATAAAAATGGGCCCGCGCGTAACAAGCACGTGCTTGGTGTCGTTTGGGCCACTTGTTTGTACTGCTCTTAGTGCATCAACGTTCAACAATATATAATTCTACAAGTAAACGTGAAGTAATTGAGACTTTAAGTAAATATTTCGAATTTTATAGTAGTCCACGCAGAATTTTCTCTGATAGAGGTTGTTGCTTTACTTCATTAGAGTTTAGTGAATTTTAAGCGGAACGTAATATTGGTCATATAAAAGTAGCGACATGTGCTCCCCAAGCAAACGGACAGGTTAAGAGAGTAAATCAAGTGCTGACACCGATGTTAGGAAAATTGTCTAATCCAATTAATCAAGCTGATTCCTATAAACTTATAAATAAGGTTAAACACGCGATGAGCAATTCAGTCCATTCTAGTACATTAAAAACACCAAGCATGAGTATTTAGATGATAAATTAAATAAAGACAAAAATAAAGATTTAAAAGATATAAGGGATAAAGCAAATTCAAAGATTGTAGAGTCTCAGAAAATAAATGAAATTATTAAAGCAGCTAAACAGAAAGCGCCATCGGAATATAGCGTTGGAGATTTTGTGGCAATAAGAAATATAAACGTAACACCTGGCACTTGTAAAAAATTTTGCACCTAAATATAGAGGTCCATATAAAAAAAAATAGAGTTTTTGACAACGATAGGTATGAAGTAACAGATATAGATAACTGTCAATTAACTCAGATACCTTATAAAGGGATTTCAGAAGTTGCGAGGCTAAAACCATGGCTTTAAATATTAAAGAAGACTGTAGCATTATGTACATAATCTTGATAGAGGTCGATCAATATGTCAGGTTGACCGAGTTGTAAACATATGTGAATATATACTAAATAGTATTAAGTGAGAACATATTGCTATGTTATGCATTGTATTTTAGTGTGCACTTTCTGTTGTAAACATATGTGAATATATATTAAGCAGTATTAAGTGTGAACATAATGTTGTGTTATGCATTTGTATTGTACAATATAATTTTATATTAAAGCCTAGTACTCAGATCGGCTAAGAGTTTCACTAGTCGAAAAATCTTATTCTTTGTAGTGTGACCGAAGTTTTCAAAGTTCACCCGCAATGCATGTAGCATGGTCTTACTGTCAAGCAGTTGGGTTTGAAATTTAAATTTAAAAAGGAGGAGTCTGCTGGTACACAAAGAAATTAAAATAAAAATAAATGGAATGTTCAAGGAATGTTTTTATTTATGTAAACTAGTAGTTTAAAGCTTCCTTTTTGTCCCACGGATGCTTCGCCATCTTTCCCGCTCCACCGCAGTCCAGCTCCGAGTCTCAATGGGCATATTGGACCTTGAGGAAGTGGGAGCCGGATTGGAAGCGGGGTTGATCCGCTGATGCTGCAGAAAGTCGCCCAGCATCCTGGCAATGGCTGGCTATGGCTTCCCCAACTGATCCTTAGCGGGCGCCCTGTTTTCCTCCTCCCTATAGAAGCCAGCGCGTCCTTCAGCTCCGCATAAGCTGCCAAGTAGCTGGTGGTGGTGATGTCCGGAGTCCTAATGGAGAGGTCGTCGGAGATCGTATTACTGGTGGTTCTGCTAAAAATATACTTCTATTAGTACAACGCGAACAAATTCTTTTGGCCAGATCTTACTTTCTTTGCGAGGACGCACCCGGCAGGATGTCCATGTAGAGATCGAAGTCCCACTCGGCATGTTCCTTCCCAATGGGATTCTCTAGTGGATCTCCTCCAGCACTTCAACTATTCTGCGAATTTTCCCCTTTTGTGGAATTGCTTTCTGTCGGTGAAAACCCGCAATAAAGGGCATAAGCTTGGATTAGGCGTCCTTTTTCATCTGCACTGACCTCCTTTAGCCGTTTTTGGTGTTTTTCTTCCATTTTTAATTTTTAAATTTCCCATCGCTTCTGCACGAACACCGCCAAAGATCAAATTTCTTATTCTTTGGGCCGCGGCTAACGGCGTTCATCGAAAATTCACTCCCGAAATCTAGTATTTTGTCTAGTATTTCCTTAGCTCATCTGAGTACCGCGCTGAAAAACAGACCCGACGAAAACCTTTAGCCGCCTGTTTGCTTCTCGCTCACTACTATGGTTAGCTCGCGGTTTTCGTCGATGTGAGTACTAGGCTTTACCATCGATAAGACAACATTGTGAACTCGATTGTCGATACACAACGAACGTACTTAATAATTAAAGAAGAAGAGAAGAACACGCTGAACATTAAAAGAAGGAATTAAAATCATTAAATTAATAGGCATCATTTACAATTGAAAATTGTGTAAATATATTCTTATAATATTTATAAAAAAAAAAATGAAATAGTATTTTTATTCAGGGAAAATCGCTCCATAAAGCTTTCGCAAACTAAGGAAACTAGTCCTTGATTTTAGAAAAAAATTTGTTAAGTTCAAAAGTTAAAAAAAAACTGTACGGCTTAAGAAAACTTTCCTGAAATTGAAGGCAATTTGCCTTAAAAGTAAGGAAGAGGAAAAGTAAGGTATAGAAAAGTCTTCCCTTAATTTAAAAGAAAAGCCGTTCCTTAAAATAAAAAAAAATCCACCTTTAGTTTGGGGACTCTTTGAATGTCTACAGGGCAATTTACCTTTACAACCAGAAAAAAACAATCTAAATATAAAAAAACTGCCTTCAGTTTAGAGCACTCCCTTCTTATTGAAAGGGTAATTGCCTTAGAAAAAAAGGACTTGGATTTTAAAAAATTCGCCCTAAATACAAGACAAATACATGCCTATTATTAGACAAATTTGCTCTTTTTGTTACCCAGTCGCCATTGACCCCCATTTTAGGGCGATTTTCCTTGAGTTTCTTGTTTATTTAACTATAGTCTCACTGTTATGCAAAAAAAAATTGGAAATCCGAATCTTTAAAATTATAGTGTATGACAAAATAAGGCAATTCATCACTATGTGCAATGGCAATGTTGTACAAAAAAGTAAAAGTATTTTGAAAGTAAACATACGAAATGGATAGGCGGCACTACAACATTTCATTCAAAAAACCAGGTTGGCCGGCCGCTAATTCCACTTGCGCCGAAAGGTGAAAGGGCTTAAAGAAAAAAAGCAGCTGAGTTAGGGAGCGAGCAGAGCAGTGCAAGGAGCAAGCGTAGCCGAATGTAGACAGAATACTTGCCAATAGGACACTCCCTCTTGTTTATGATAGTTTCCTTAAGTCAGTAGTATGACAAGACGCATTCTGGGACAATTATCATATTAATGGCCCCCTGCCCCCCTGCCGTCCCTTCCCCTCATTAACATATGCGGGTTCTAGGACAATAAGCATAATAAATTAAATTAACTGATTTTAATGAACTTTGAAGTCATAAAAAGGTCATGTCCATAAAGAGTATACTTAATTGCCCCCATCGCCTCCACATCGCCATGTGACAATATTGATCATGTATCCTTTCCCTCATTCAGAGGAGAAAGGTGCACGTGAGGAAGGTCGCACACCCATACTATCCAAAGATGGTTATCTTATAGGAACATATCCGATCATGTTGGGGAAAGGTGTGATCAATTACTCTTTTTCCTCATTATCACAGGTGTTGCTCTGCACGTGAGAAAGCTCGCACACCCAAATTATCCAAAGATGGTTATCTTATATGAATATTTCCGATCATGTTGGGGAATAATGTTTCCTATGATTGTAAAACAAATTTAGAAATCTATAGAACCCCAATAATATAAATTTCACAAGGTAATGGTTCTCAGGTGTGGAATATTTTCAAACACACATTTTTCTTTAACAGGTAACAGGTAACGTTTAACAGGTAAGTTGTCTAAGGCTCTCTCCTTTCCACAAATGGGTAACAATCTTGTCATAAAAGGGATTCAAGCAAGAGCTAGCCTGAGGGCGCACGCTCATTTTAATTTTAACTCGAAATAAAAAGTTAGAAGATTATTTTGTAGCATAAAAATACATTTATTCAATTATTTTGGTATTGCAAACATGTACAGGGTTGCCCATATTCGACGGACCCATCTGACGACGCCATAACTTTTGACAGAGATGCCAGATCGCTTAATGACATACCGCGTTTGAAGCGTCAGTCCAAGCAGATTTTTACCATGGAACAATACACGCCACGCGAGCGCTCTGAAATAGTTGAAATTTACATTCAACAGAACAAGTCAATTGTGAAAACTCAACGTGCTTTTAAAAAATTAAAAAATGTGAAAAGTGCGCCTTCTAAGAACACCATTAAGCGTTTATACGAAAAATTTACGACTGGTGAGGCTCTTTCTAATCCGAAGAGGCCAAATAAAAGTCGACCAAGGCGATCGGACGAGAATATCGCTGCCGTACGAGCCAGTGTTGAGATGTCCCCAAGAACATCCCAAAAACGCCGTTCTCAGCAGTTGGGCATGGCTCGGTCCACTTTACAACGGATTATTCGCGTTGATTTGCATTTGTTCCCGTACAAAATTCAATTGACGCAAAGATTGTTGCTTACGGGCAAGCCTCGTCGATTGGAATGGGCCCAAAGAGTCATCGAAATGTCCGAAGATGACGATCAATTTTGGAACAAAATTATCATGTCCGATAAAGCCCATTTCACATTGAATGGGACCGTAAATAAGCAAAATTGCCGTATTTACGCCACTGAAAATCCTGAGAAGATTCAAGAAGTGAAAACGGTCATTGGGCCGTTTTTCTTCCAAAATGAAAATGGCCATGCTGTTACCATCAACCAGGAGCGTTATTGCGACATGATGACCAGTTTTGTGATGCCAATTATTCGTCGAAAGCGTATGAGGCAGTTCTGGTTTCAACAAGACGGCGCTCCACCGCACACAAGTCGCATAACAATCGATTTTCTGAAGAAATTGTTTCCGGGCCGTTTGATGTCGAAAAGTGGTGATTTGGACTGGCCACCGCGTTCGCCCGATTTGACGCCGCCTGACTTCTTCTTGTGGGGATATTTGAAGTCAAAGGTTTACGTTAACAAGCCAAGGACCCTAGAAGAGCTCAAGGACAACATTCGTGAAGAAATAGCCGCTATTCCGGCCGAAATGTTGGCGAAAACGATGGAAAATGCTGCAAAAAGGGCACAATACGCCATCAACGCCAGAGGCGGCCATTTGAAAGATATCATATTCAAAAATTGATGTAAACAAATCTACTTGGAACAAATTAAATGATTAAGATTGCCAACCGCCAAATTTTTATTTTTTTCTTTGATTTAAAAAAAAAAACATGGGTCCGTCGAATATGGGCAACCCTGTATTATTAAAATTTTTTTTATTCTTTCTTCTGGGTTATAGTATTTCCTTTTTGAAATCCGAGATTCGATGGCAAACACAAGTATCAACTCCCTCAATGGCGGGTGAATGCCGGCATTAGGTCGCCTACTGACCCAGCGGTACTGGACGGTATTGTCCAAGAAGGCCGCCCCCATTGCATCCCCCGATGGACGCGACAAATTGGAAGCCCGATATGTCCGGTCACGGAGACGGAAATATTATCTGTGGCAACAATCTTGAAGAACAGGAAGGCACCTGGCCCGGATCTGATCCCGAACAGTGCAGTGAAGACCCTGCTATTCCTCCATCCGGGGGCGGTAGCATCGCTCTACAAAACGTGCCTGCTGGAAGGGACCTTCCCCGACAGGTGGAAGCGCCAAAAACTCCTGCTCCTGCCAAAGCCAGGAAAATCAACCGGTGAAGCCTCTTCTTACAGGCTTATCTGTCTGCTGGACACCATATGCAAGGTCTTCGAAAGGGTCATTGCAACAAGGCTTAACGCTGCTATGGAGGATGCCGGTGGACTCTCTTCCAACCAATACAGTTTTCGGAAAGGAATATCGACACTGGACGCGATAGAGAGGGTCACCAACATTGCTTCTAAAGCTATCGCTGGTACCAGATGGAAGGGTGGGACGAAGAAGTATTGTCTAGTGGTCACGCTGGGCATACGGAATGCGTTAAACTCAGCCGATTGGGGGAGGGCACTGAAGGCACTGCGGTCCTTCAACATTCCGGAATACCTGCCGAATGTAGTGCACAGCTACCTCAGCAAAAGGGAGCTGGTCCTAGAAACCTCTGTGGGCTCAAGGACTTACGAGGTGACTGCCGGTGCTCCTCAGAACTTTGGAACACGATGTTCTGAAGCTCCCACTGCCGAGCAGCACCAATATAGTTGGCTTCGCAGATGATGTCGCGCTGGTTGTGGTGGCCAAGGAAGTTGTTGCCGTGGAAGCAGCTGCAAACTGCGCAATTCGAGCAGTGGAGGAGTGGCTCTCAGTGGCGGGCCTAGAGCTGGCATCACACAAAACAGACGGTGCTAATATCAAGCAGGAAAGCAGTGAAGTCAGCGCGTATCCAGATCGGAGGGACATCGATAGTATCTCAGCGTCCCATAAGGTACCTGGGAGTCACGCTGGACACCCGCTTACCGCGAACACCTAGAATACGTCAATAAAAAGGCAAGTGAGACCACAGGATCGCTCTGCAGGATCCTGCTGAAAACCAGGGGACCGAAGCAGGACAGACGTAAGCTCCTCGCGACCGTTGTCAAGCCGCAGTTGCTGTACGCTGCTCCGGCGTGGGCCGAGGCCACGCAGCTACATGCGAGGGGTTAACCCGACGTACCGCCTGTGTGCCGTCAGAATATTAAGTGCCTTTAGGACGATCTCGGACGACGCCCCGCTTGTCATTGCAGGCCAAGTTCCCCTATGTGAACTGGTGCGGGAGGCCAAGGAGATTCGCGCGGCCCTAGCAGGCGATCAGACGATCAGACGAACCACAGAGCCAAGACCGATGTGAAGAGGAGTGCCAGGATGCAGAGCGCCGACAATTGGCAGACAGCCTGGGACAACTCCAACAAGGGACGCTGGACGCACCAGCTCATCCCCAGCATAGAGCCTTGGGTAAACAGGAAGCACGGCCAGGTAGATTTTTACCTCACGCAGGCGCTGAGTGGACAGGTGTAAAAGTGATCATGAAAAAAATAGAAATAACTAAAACAAAAAGAATACAATAAAATGAATAACCAAAATCAGTTTTGTCAATCCTGCAAGTGTTTCTTGCAAAAGAATAAGTGGGCAAACCATGTCCGTTCGGAGTCGCATAAGCGAAATGCAATTCAACCCTTTGACGGAAGAGTCAAAGAAATTTCTGAGGGATTCAAGGGAAGAATATTGAATTACATGTATGTAAACGATGGATCGGACTTGATCTTACCTGAGAGGTTCGTGAGTGAAGCTGGATTGTCACTGCTACCTCATCTCAGCATTCTATTAGAAAGTTATACTTCAGCAAAAGTAAACTTTGAACTATTTTCAGAGTATTTACTTTTTAAAGATGAATCTGAAGAAATTGAAATGAAAAGTTTTCAAAGTAAAATGACGATCATGAATAAAGATTCTGATTCAGAATGTATCTTGCATGAACATACCATGGAAATAATTTCTAAAACTCAAGAATTTCAAGACAGAGACAGTGGATGGTCTCTTATGAAATTGATTGGCTTGGAAATGAATGTGAATCATTATGCACCGATGGCTGGTTCGTCCTTCATACCACTTCCTCGTTTCCTTTTGGCAAAAAAAACACGGAAATGATATATATTGTTTTAAATGGGCGTTGATTTCTGCCTTAAAAATTGTTAACAGGCCGCAAAGATGTTCGGCATATAATATTGATATATCGCTGGAGATATTTCGTATAAGTGATGAAATAAAATTAGATTTCACAGGGTTGTCTTTCCCCCTTGAAATAAAATGTATAAAAAAATTTTTTTAAAAGAATACTCACATGAGTTTAAACGTATTCGGATATAGCGAAGAGACGAGGGAAATAATTGGACCACTTTTTCAATCGGAAGTGGAATAACCTCTTCATATCAATATTATGTTTTTGGACGACGGTGGAAATTAACATTATATGTACGTTAAAAATATTTCAAGGTAAGTTGCTTTATTCATTTTTATCTCTTTTAAGCAAATAAATAATTTGTATATATTTCCGTTTCAAAGACTAATTACTGCTCAAAGAGGAAATCGGAAGAGGGCGCAATTTTTCTGCAATGTGTGTTTGAATTTTTCCGGAACCCAGGAAGCTGCATTGAAACACAAGACGCTCTGCAGTAGGAAGGTTTCAAAGATGCCGCAGCCCCAGAATAATACACTGGAATTTACCCAAGTTCAACATCAGCTTCAAGTTCCATTTCTTGTCTACGCGGATTTTGAATGCATTCTGGAACAAAAAAAATCTTGAAGTGATCCCCAAATTATTTTATATTAATGAACATATTCCAATATCATATACTTATTATATAAAGTGTGCTTTTGATTCTAAACTAGATAAATTTGTTTTAGAAACAGGAAAAAATTCAGGAATAAGTTTTGTAAATTCTTTGATAAAAAATTTAACTAAATTGAGTGATGACTACTTACATAAAATAGTTCCTGTTAGAATGACTTTGGATGATAATTCATTGAATTGTTATATTTGTGATAGGGTTAGAGATCATTGCCATTTCACAGGTCGCTTTAGAGGTACAGCCCACTCTAAATGTAACTTGGATTATGAAGTTAACAAATTCATACCAGTATTTTTTCATAGTTTTTCAAAATACGACTGTCATTTATTTATTCAAAAGTTGGGAAAGATTCCCGGTGAAATTTCCGTAATACCAATAAAAAAGAAAAACTATACTTCTGTTTAAAAAAAAAATAAAATGCTTTAGTGAAAAAAGTTTTGAAATTCGTTTTCTCGACACATATAGATGTATGCCATCAAGTTTAGATACCCTAGCTTCTAATTTAGTTGATGATCAAATGAATACTGTAAAGTCATTTTTAAGTAATGATATTGAATTTCAACTTTTGCGTAAGAAGGGTATATTTCCCTATGAATATTTATATTCCGCTAATAGACTCGAAGAAACTTCCCTCCCACCAAGGAATGTTCTCAGGAAGATTATGATCAAGCTTTTGAAGTCTGGTCGCACCTCTCATGTTTCACTCTTAAAATTGTTTAGAATTATATTTAAAAACTGATGTATTCCTTTTAACTGACATTTGTGAAAACTTCCGAAAGATTTGTATGCAAATTTATTCACTTAACCCAGCTCAGTATTTTACGACACCAGGTCTATCTTGGGAGGCAATGTTGAAAACTACAAATATTCAACTTGAATTGCTGACAGATTTAGATATGTATAGATTTATTTAAAGTAGCATTCGAGGTGGTTTAGTTCAATGTTGTCATAGATATACAAAAGCAAATAACAAATATTTGTCTGATTATGATTCCTCGAAGGAGTCTTCATTTTTAATGTGTGTGGATGCGAATAACTTGTATGGTTGGGCAATGTCACAACCTTTACCATATAAGGACTTTAAGTGGATGTCTACTACAGACATAGACAATTTTGATATTCATAATATTCCATTTGATAGCAAATACGGTTTTTTTTCGGAAGTGGACTTAATATATCCATACCGTTTACATGATCTTCATAATGATCTTCCATTTTGTCCGTCAAAGTGTCTGGCCTCAAAAGAGGATAAGGTAAAAAAATTATTTGCTGACCTGGGAAATGAGAAAAATTATGTAATACATTATCGGAATTTGCAACAATGTATACAGAATGGGTTAGTATTGAAAAAGATCCGTAGAGGTGTTCAGTTTTTACAAAAGCCTTGGTTAAAGAATTACATTGATCTAAATACTTTACATATGCAAAATGCAAAAAGTAAATTTGAAAAAGATTTTTTTAAATTAATGAATAATTCTGTTTACGGAAAAACAATGGAAGATCCCGAGCGCAGGGTCGATATTAAGCTTATTAGTACATGGGAAGCTCCGCATAGCTCGAAGACTGGACGAAAAGGACATTGTGCCAAAACTTTAATTTCAAAATCCAATTTTTATAGTGCAACTAAAATATATGATAATATCTATGCAATTCAAATGAAAAGATTGTCCGTTATATTTAATAAGCCAATGTATTTGAGATTTGCAGTATTAGACTTATCGAAATGAAAAATGTATGATTTTCACTATCAATATATGAAGCAAAAGTTTCAGGAAAAGTTACTCTTAAATTATATGGATACTGATTGCTTTATCTATACAATAAAAACTGAAGGTTTTTATAAAGATACTCGTAATGATCTTGAAGCAAAATTTGATACATCGGAATATTCA